TTTAATTTATACAGTTTTCTAAAAAAAATCGTATGAAATGATAAAACTTTCCATTATATAACATATGATTTAATTTTTTTAATTTGAGTTAAAACAAACGTAGAAATATAACCAAACCTAACCTAAACTAACATAACTAAGTCAGTAATTCATGTTCTTAATATAAAATAATAATATTAAATCAAATGAATACATATTGATTAAATAACTATAATCTCTCTGCCTATTAGGCAAATTGGACCTTACATACTAGGCCGAGTAGTGCGTTCTGTCTACTAGGTACGACACATGATTATATATATATATATATATATATATATATATATATATATATATATATCCCCCTGTAGGAATAGTGAGAAACAGAAGAAATAGAAGAAGATGAAAAAAAATTAGACAAAATATGCAAATAGAATATGGGCATTTATTTATCAAAAGATAAATTGATATTACTAGAATAAACAGGTTACTGGAAAGGCAAAATTACAAAGTGCACAATACAAGATCCTGGAGAATGGAAAATGTCAGCTTGAAACCCAAATATAGCTCCATGGACGTTTCTTGACGGATTTAGAGTTCAAAGGTGTCAGGCAAACATAGGGGTGGGCCACCATTCCCCAAGACGTATATGGAATGGAAATTTTCAGAGAGCGTAGTGTTCAATTCTCGGACTGCGATAGACACCGCGGCTATGTGAAGGATCAAAGGCCTGGGATGTGGAAGACAAAAACAATAACCTATAATCACTTCTATTCATTAAGACGTGACACTGTTAGATGACTGGTGTATATATAAAATGTGTAGTTACTTTTGTGACACTTTCGTTCAGCGCTTTGGATAGGAGTAGAGATTAAAGTGAAATGTAAAGAAAATATGAAGGGTGTTGGAGAAAGGGCAAGGTTGCCCTCCCTATCATGGAGGAAGGGTAGGAGATGGTTGTGTTTGGCCTGCCGGAGACGAGGCTGTAGCCTACATCACAATATATTGATATTTTTACTTCGGAAATTGTAAAATATCTCTCACTAGTGTATGCAGCTATGCACACGAAGGTACCTCATTACGTTACCCATCCTCAATCACTATGATAACCATCCATCAAACACCATGATATCCACCCTCACCATGATATCCACCCTCACCATGATATCCACCCTCACACACCATGATATCCACATCACTCACCATGATATCCTCCTCACTCACAAAAAGATATACAGTACTTGATAACCCATCACTCCTCTATCACTCATCTCTCACCAACACAGAACTGAGTATAAACAGCAATAAGCATCAACATAGAAGGAGTATCAAACTCCTCTTCTGGAAGCCTGCTCCATAAATTTCCTCCGTCTCGCCTGAAAGCGTTTACGTGTGGTTTTAAAACCCTTTGCATCGCATTACATCTGGCTGAACGATACTCGAGCATTTCTCCTTATCTACAGTGTCATGTTCTCTGATAATTGCAAATACTTGTATCAAGTGACCTCTTATTCTTCTCCATGTAAGATAGAATAATTTTAACCCTTGAAAACGGGTTTCCTCTGGTTCGCCTCTTGGTACCGTCGCTCGACGCTGAATGCCATTGTCGACCTCTATATACTGGAATGATTGTACCGGATCGTAAGTGGAGTCATATTTTTTCGAATCGAGACCACAGGGCAACTATATCTGGAGAGAGAGAAAACAATGAATGTGCTGGCGAAATAGACGGCCATATTGGAACGCCTTTTTTTGTGATGGAAGCGCATGTAATCTCTTTTTCAAATATTGTGAAATGGCGACTTTTTTTAACGAATGCCCCTGTTTTATTTTTATGTGGAAAGATAATAAATTTAGATTACATATTGCAAGCCCAAAGGAGGCCGCAGCTATGATACCAACCCGAGTCAAACCTCGGTTACCAACTCCCAACTCACAAATTCTTCCTCTGCCGCACTTCTTTACGTTTTAAGAAAAAGAACTTTGAGGAAAGAAAAACAATAGTTTTCTTAACTCTTCATTCACTATCATTTTTTTCAGTTATGGTTAACCAATCAATTCTTGGTTCCAGTCCAGAAAACAGCCTAGTCCTCAACCTAATCCCCAGACTACAGCCCAAGACCTCAGCCTTGGTTTCAACCAAATTCCTTCACATCTGAGCCCAGGACCTGGGCTGCTTTCATACGAAAGGCTCAGATGTACTTTAGAAGAATATGGAGGACAAAGAAATTGGAAAGGGTGAAAGTTTTAAGGAAGGACAATTCGATGATCAGGTTTATGTTAGACCCTGGTGAAAGGAAGTGAAATTGAGTGCAATAGAGCTAATACTAAAAGACCATGAATACAGTAGGGAAGGCGTATTCCTATTGATGAATGAATTGTGTTACGGGACCATGAGTTCAAAGTGCACGTACGTCATGCTAATGTTTGTAAGTGGTAGTGACAGCATGCTCCGCTTCATAACGAAAGTGCGAATGATGGAAAAAGAGTCAAAGAAGAATCGTGAATAGTGATTTGAATGTAAGAGGTAGGATATGACCTCTGGGATGACATTATTGGTATAAATGGTGTCCATGGAATGACACTGACTATACTTTGAGAGATTTATTAGCCGAAAAGGAGTTATGCATTATTTATTTCATATTAAAAGTACAAAGACAAAGTGTATACTCTGCATAGTAACTGATAAACGTGCTGAATAGTGTCTGTATTATGAGGAGGGAGGAAGGAAATTAACAGGGGAAAACGCCAAGCCATTACGGCTATATAGCACTTGGAAGGGATCTGGATAAGGATTTGAGATAGGACGGGGAGGGAAGGAATGGTGCCCAACCACTTGGACGGTTAGGGATTGAACGCCAACCTGCATGAAGCGAGACCGTCGCTCTACCGTCCAGCCCAAGTGGTTGGGAATTTATGAGGATAGGCAGGGTGATATAGCCTAGTGACACGAAGCCCCGTGAGGACTATCTGGAGGTGCGTCTCGTTACGTGATAATGGTGTGTAAGATAAACATGAATGGTAACTACATGATGGCAGCTACCAGGGATCTAAGAGGTGAAAGAATTGATTAGTTAAACAAAACTGAAAAAAATGCTAGAGAATGAGGAGTTAAGAAAACTGTTGTTTTTCTTTCCTCAAAGTTCTTTTTTTTACGTAAAGAATTGTAGCAGAGGAGAGCAAAAGAAAGAATTTGTGAGTTGGTAGTCGAGGTTTGACTCGGGATGGTACCTATCAGTGTACAGGAACTTCTATAGGGACAGGGGGTGTAGCCATTCTTGCAACCCGTCCTCCTAATAACACGTCGTATTCTGTCGTATACTTTATCTAAGGCCAAAAACTGTCGTGCAATAAAATGGTAGCGGTTCGCGAAGTTGATATAATATCCCGTTTTCTGTTCGTGTGTCCTCAGGTTGGTTAGGTTAGGGCACTTATTACGACAGTTGGGAACGCTCACGAGCATGGGCTGCTTCATGCCCCACTTGCTTGTCGCACTTGTGGCGTTATAATTGAACTTTTATGACTTTCAAATTCTGAATTTAAATTTGTTGATGGAGGCGACTTCCAGGACTTTTTCAGCGCGTTCCACTGGTTGACCACCCGTCCAGGGTACGAATATTTCCTTACATATCTTCGTCTCATTTACGTCTCCAGCTTCCACTAGGCTGCAGTCTCCCCGTCTTGGCGCCTGCGTTTGATAATTACTTAGTGTGACCTCTTGTCCTACAGTTTAGCACTTTAAAGAGGCTATTCATGCCTACCCTGTCAGTTATCCTCGGCATCTTATATGTTGCGATAATGTCCTCTCTCTTTTGCTCATCTGTACACAGGACCTTTAAACTCGGCCGGTTGGTGAGTGTTGGATTTGACTCCACATTCCCGTAGTGTGGAGCGAGATCTAGGCTAGTTTAGACTAGTATCCCCCTAATGTTAAATAACATTTTTCCTTTATACCCGACACTCACTCGGGTGTGAGTGTCATATGACACCGAGGGCGAGAGAAAGTTGTGAGGAGGTGGGTAACTGGCGCAGGGCGTGCCATGACGACAACCTTCTTCTTGTCATATGATATCATATCCTATAGGAGTCATATGTCATATGATATCGGAGATGTAGAAGTTGGTGTACGCTTGTCTTATGTTTCTATGTGAGGCTGTAGGCTGTTGTGTTCCACCAGTTGCACCGGCTGATCATTACCTGAGAAGGAGGAATTATTGTGCATATCTAATGGGAATTACAAAATAATAGACTTGGACATTGTAAGCGTTGCGAGTAATACATTCCTAGTATTACCTTAGTGTTTGTGTTACAAAGCAGTAGATCATTTATTACAAATAAATTTGTATGCATTGTACATTTCATTTTTGGATATTTAGAGTTCTAGTGTTAAAGACATATTTACAATCTTTTTATATTTCATTGTGCATGTAACTATTCGCATACTTTGCGTCATTTTATAATGGAATGTGAAAATATAACGGAATTAAAAAAATAACTCCATCAATGGAGTTCAAGAAATGTGTAAGTGCTTCATTCATAATGATGTACTGCCAGGAATCTTAGCGAAGTATCCGAAATTTGCTCACTGTAGGTAATGCATGCACATGACTGTAAAGCTGCCGCCCAGTTGGGTGGGTGTGGAGCACATGACTGTAAAGCTGCCGCCCAGTTGGGTGGGTGTGGAGCACATGACTGTAAAGCTGCCGCCCTGTTGGGTGGGTGTGCAGCAAGACTAGTAACTGTGTGACTCACCATAGATGTAAAGTGCCTTGTATAGTGATATATATATATATATATATATATATATATATATATATATATATATATATATATATATATATATATATATATATATATATATATATATATATATATATATATATATATATATATATATATATATATATATATACATACATACATATAGTAGGCATTCTGCAGTCACGGGACACTATGGAGTTGCACTCGGGTTGTCGAGGCTAAAGTGTCCTTTCCAGGGCGCAAAACCAGGGTACGTCAATATGGAAGGAAAAGCTGTTACTCATGCAGCAGGTCCCCACCTCTCCACGATGCTGACATTGCCCAAAGGAAAAGCAAACGCCAACACGCTTGGTATGTTAGCACTGAACACGTATATATATTGTCCATGTATATATAACATTAGCTATTGTGTAACGAGCTTCAAAAGATTGTCACTTGCTGAGATAAATGAACTAAGGGGTTCAGATCCTGAACCCATTATGTGCCTCTGTAACCCTTTCCACCACCGCTCACGGGATGCGTATGGGGTGCATAATAAAGAAAGAAATTGAATTGTGCATGTAAACACTTTGGTGACTCACTGAGGCCCCAGTGGTGGAGGCCCCAGTGGTGGAGGCCCCAGTGGTGGAGGCCCCAGTGGTGGAGGCCCCAGTGATGGAGGCCCCAGTGGTGGAGGCCCCAGTGGTGGAGGCCCCAGTGGTGGAGGCCCCAGTGGTGGAGGCCCCAGTGGTGGAGGCCTCAGTGATGGAGGCCCCAGTGGTGGAGGCCCCAGTGGTGGAGGCCCCAGTGGTGGAGGCCCCAGTGGTGGAGGCCCCAGTGGTGGAGGCCCCAGTGGTGGAGGCCCCAGTGGTGGAGGCCACAGTGGTGGAGGCCCCAGTGATGGAGGCCCCAGTGGTGGAGGCCACAGTGGTGGAGGCCCCAGTGGTGGAGGCCACAGTGGTGGAGGCCCCAGTGATGGAGGCCCCAGTGGTGGAGGCCACAGTGGTGGAGGCCCCAGTGGTGGAGGCCCCAGTGGTGGAGGCCACAGTGGTGGAGGCCCCAGTGATGGAGGCCCCAGTGGTGGAGGCCCCAGTGGTGGAGGCCACAGTGGTGGAGGCCCCAGTGATGGAGGCCCCACTGATGGAGGCCCCAGTGGTGGAGGCGCCAGTGGTGGAGGCCCCAGTGGTGGAGGCCCCAGTGATGAAAGCAAAGGTCAAGCCAACAGGAAGAGTGAAGCATCCGGGGAGGGAGGGAGGGAGGGAGGGAGGGAGGGAGGAGGTGGGTAATGAGGCGAGTGTGTGTATCCTCCCCGGGATATTACAGGCACGTGACGGCTAGTTCGTATTACGACACTGCCCGCCGTACTGAGTGACCTGAGCCGTGAGTGACAAGTATTACGACACTGCCCGCCGTACTGAGTGACCTGAGCCGTGAGTGACAAGTATTACGACACTGCCCGCCGTACTGAGTGACCTGAGCCGTGAGTGACAAGTATTACGACACTGCCCGCCGTACTGAGTGACCTGAGCCGTGAGTGACAAGTATTACGACACTGCCTGCCGTACTGAGTGACCTGAGCCGTGAGTGACAAGTATTACGACACTGCCCGCCGTACTGAGTGACCTGAGCCGTGAGTGACAAGTATTACGACACTGCCTGCCGTACTGAGTGACCTGAGCCGTGAGTGACAAGTATTACGACACTGCCCGCCGTACTGAGTGACCTGAGCCGTGAGTGACAAGTATTACGACACTGCCTGCCGTACTGAGTGACCTGAGCCGTGAGTGACAAGTATTTCGACACTGCCCGCCGTACTGAGTGACCTGAGCCGTGAGGGACAAGTATTACGACACTGCCCGCCGTACTGAGTGACCTGCGCCGTGAGTGACAAGTATTACGACACTGCCCGCCGTACTGAGTGACCTGAACCGTGAGTGACAAGTATTACGACACTGCCCGCCGTACTGAGTGACCTGAACCGTGAGTGACAAGTATTACGACACTGCCCGCCGTACTGAGTGACCTGAACCGTGAGTGACAAGTATTACGACACTGCCCGCCGTACTGAGTGACCTGAGCCGTGAGTGACAAGTATTACGACACTGCCCGCCGTACTGAGTGACCCGAACCGCGAGTGACAAGTATTACGACACTGCCCGCCGTACTGAGTGACCTGCGCACTCAGTGATAAGGGACTCCTGATGTGTTACAGCGGGGTCAACCCACACCATTTTGTCGCTGGTTACTCTGAATACCTAGATTATACCTGTAGGTTCATGTCAGAGGCACGAAGTCTGTACATCTCCGGAATGCAAACCACAACACTGGCTGAACTCCCTAGTACCTGTATTATTAATGTTAGGTGAACAGAGACATCAGGTGAAAAGAAATGTACTCAACCGTTTCTCTTGAGCACAATCTCTGAGGGAATACAGAGAACATATACGGCACGCATAGGCGCGATAAAGCACCTAAATTATTGGGATTGTCTCAAAGCCCTCCAAATGTACTCACTAGAAAGAAGACGAGAGAGATATCAAATAATATACACCTGGAAGATACTGGAGGGCCAGGTCCCAAATCTACACAGTAAAATAACAACATACTGGAGTGAACGATATGGAAGAAAATGCAGAATAGAACCAGTGAAGAGCAGGGTGCCATAGGCACAATCAGAGAACACTGTATAAACATCAGAGGTCCACGGTTGTTCAACGTCCTCCCAGCGACTATAAGAAATATTGCAGGAACAACCGTAGACATCTTCAAGAGGAAACTAGATTGTTTCCTCCAAGGAGTGCCGGACCAACCGGGCTGTGGTGGGTATGTGGGCCTGCGGGCCGCTCCAAGCAACACCCTAGTGGACCAAACTCTCACAAGTCAAGCCTGGCCTCGGGCCGGGCTTGGGGAGTAGAACAACTCCCAGAACCCCATCAACCAGATATCTTCCGCCCGGGTATTACGCCCCCCCACCCCCGGACTCGGGAGTGGAGTGACCCGAGGACGTAGACTACTGTGCTACTCCGAGGGGTAACAGTGCTCACACTGGTTCATGGAGATGTCTGGTCTCCACTCAAGTTTATCTTATAGCCTTCGTGATAGCATTAATTACACCCTGGACCAAGAACAATGAGTTGTACCCACCTGTCCCACCCTCCCCTTGCCCCCGGGTGTGTGTGTGTCCTGAGTACAGGACACACTCGCGTCTGTGGCTCCCCGCGAGATCAGGTTGGGGGAGATTGTCACCCGAGACCCCCTACCCGATCATGCACGTATACACATCAGGTGAGAGCCTGTGGGGTGCGTGCGTGTGGATGTGCGTGTGGGGGTGCGTGGGTGTGTGTGGGTCTGGGAGTGTGCGTGTACTCACCTAATTGTACTCACCTAATTGTGCTTTTGGGGGTTGAGCTCTGGCTCTTTGGTCCTTCCTCTCAACTGTCAATCAACTGATGTACAGATTCCTGAGCCTACTGGGCTCTATCATATCTACATTTGAAACTGTGTATGGAGTCAGCCTCCACCACATCAATGCTTAATGCATTCCATTTGTCAACCACTCTGACACTCCGGCACACGTGTGGATGTGCGAGTGTGCGTGTGGGTGTGAGAGTGTGCGTGTGGGTGTGCGAGTGTGCGTGTTGGTGTGCGTGTGGGTGTGTATCTGAGGTGTCCGCAAGAAGAACAACACACCCTCAAGGCGTTCCTAGAGTGACTGCCAGTACACATCACCGCGATGACTGCGTTTAAGCTAACTCGGAGTCGACCTTCATGGGGGAGTTTATCAAGTAATTTGCTTCACTGAAGTTCTATCTCTACCATGTTACATTTCCTATGCATGTCGAATACTGTTTGACTTGGCACACAAAGGGGACGATGAAGGGAGACTTAGAGAAGCGTGCAATTGCAACGCTCGGAATGTCGTGCAGTGAACGGAGGAGCAACAGTAGTAGACATGTTGCAATCTTGGGAGACTACGGAGTTGCGCGATAATAGCAACTTAAATACCCCAGAGAGAGACAACCCTACACCCCCCCCGAGGGACTCCATCTGGTGCTTGTCAACCCGGAGTGAACCTCACTTCAATGCAATAAATTTAATCAGGGCGATCAGAGGGAAGGAATGTAGCCCAGGCCCGCGACCCGATAACGATCCCGCACCGTCTCCTAAACTGCCCCCCGCGTTATCTAGTGTTTTATATATCCAACTATCTTGACGAAGACGCGGTCGTAACTTGTGGAGGCTGGAGGACTCCTGCAGCCTGACCATCTCCTGTCACCTGCACCACTACGCCAGCTTCCACACTCGTATATTTGGCCGTCAATAAGGAGAATGAAATTATATATATAAAAAAAGCGGTCAGTCTTCCGGCCAGGAGGAGGCAAGAAGAAGCACATTCCGCACCTTGGACTGCTGGGGGCCATTCTTGGGTTGGGGGGAGGGGGTGGTGACTAGGGAAGGGGGAGGGGTGGTGACTAGGGAAGGGGAGGGGTGGTGACTAGGAAAGGGGAGGGGTGGTGACTAGGAAAGGGGAGGGGTGGTGACTAGGAAAGGGGAGGGGTGGTGACTAGGAAAGGGGAGGGGTAGTGACTAGGAAAGGGGAGGGGTGGTGACTAGGAAAGGGGGAGGGGTGGTGACTAGGAAAGGGGAGGGGTGGTGACTAGGAAAGGGGAGGGGTGGTGACTAGGAAAGGGGAGGGGTGGGAGTAGGGGGTGTTCCAGCCGAATGTGGTTGCGGAAGTGGGGGGGGGGGGGCGGCGGTGGTACCAGTTACGGTGAGAGTATTAATGGTACTTACCAATCAGTACTTATCTATCAGTGACTACTGGGAAGTGAAGTCTAGCTCTTTATGACCTCTTTGTAACTCCTGCGTTAAAACGTCACTATTCTAACGTCCAAAATCTTAGTCGAACCTGTTCTTAAAGTTGTGGATGGAGGTGGCTTCCACAGCTTCTTCTCTTAGTGTATTCCACGTGTTGGCCTCCCGTACAGGGTACGAGTATTTCCTTACATTTCTTTGACTCGTTTGCGTTTTCAGCTTCCACTTGTGTCCTCTTGTCCTACTTTCTCTCAACTTAGTGAGACTGTCTTTGTCCACCTTGTCTATTCCCCTCAGTATCATACTGAAACATGCTTTCAAAAGTATATACACTATAATAAAGAAGATGGTCGAGGGGGGGGGGGGTGCGAGGAAGTCACTGCATAAGATAACTGAAAACTAAAATGCCATGACCCAAGAGTTGAAACTCGACCGTGAAAGCACAGCCAGACCATCAAGGTGAGCACACATGCACCTGAACACCGCTCACACTGATGTAACATTCATAGGAATGCACTTACGCTCTCTTGAGAGCCCACAGCATGGAAACCTTACCTGTAACTGCCTCACATAAGCCACACAGATGATATACGGAAGGTTGATAGAAAGCTAAATATTCAGATAAACATAAAGTTAGATATATAGACAGATTAATACCCTTACAATGTAGATAGACAGATTTGTAGTTATATCAGTCCATCCTGCTTTATATATACATATATTGACAACATAAGAGATAAATGGAAAGTGATTGGTATGAGATCTTTGGCTAGAATAATAGAACAGATTAATACTGTATATATTTACCAAGAGTTAGGAATATCTTGATATTCTAAATAGATACATTAATCTCAAATTATAATAATAGGCTTCAATAATATGTTAACCTAACACAATATTGACATTCCAAGTTTATAATGGCACTTAACAACGTTATAATGTTACAAGATTATAGTGCTAAGATTTGCATAATCTCCATATGTAAATAGATATATGGAAATTTGTTGCATTTAGACATTCTGTTTACAGTGACATAAAGTGCCATTTAAGTCAGTTTCAGCAGCCAAAGTGCAAATGTATTCGAAGGTAAAGAGGCAGTTAGTTCCCAATATGACGTCCCGCCAAACACACACCGAAACTACGACGTTGGTACAACGTTCGAACAAGTTTTAACACCTTCTAACCAGTTATAACAACCAATATAGCAAGTTGTAACAACGTTCTAATACGTCATAAACACCTTAAGCCAAGATGTAACAACTTTATTACAAGTTGTAACAAGCGGAAAATAGAGACAGTTTCGGTTTGTGTTTCCAGGGGTCACTCAGTGGTGGACTTAACAATTAAAACTGTTTGCAAATGAAGAGTGGGAGCATCAGGTTTTAAACCTTAAGTAGTGATGAGTATTTGAATATATATATTAGATTAAGAGACTAGTAAAGAAGAAGAAGTAGTGAAATTGATCATATAATAATGTGAGGGGGGGGGGAGGAGTTAAGAGGTCTCGTCTGCTCATGAATTTATATAATTATTATAACTTTATTGAGGGCTATCATATTTTTTCTCGCAGTATAAGTATGGGTTGTAGCAGTAGTTGCAAAAGTAGCGGGTAGAAACAGGAACTCTGTAACATGTTATAATTCCCCAACACCTGATTATGGCGTTATTTACATTATGGAAACTCTTAAGCCGTCAGAGTGAAAAGTTTGCAAGATGTAAGACTGCCAAACAGTTGATCGTCGCTAATTGATCATACTAGGCTTTACAAGCTTCCGCGCAAAATTTGTCTATGATGGTGAATTTAACAGTCTACTTTAATGCGGTTTTGTGACCTAAGCGTCGAAGCGAGGCAGGTCTATTGGAGGTTCAAGTTCAAGTTCAAGTATGTTTATTGAGATAAGAAAGAAATACATCTCAAAGGGATAAAGTAGCTTGGGCCATTCTACCCCCCTTATTGGAGGTGACGACAAAGAAAGTCCTGAACTGATAATAATATTTCCAGTAATTTAAACATGAAACCTGGTCATTATTATTTTCAGTTCAATTTAATATTATTTATCGTCAATATCCACTAATATCAAAGGCTACTGTAGGAGCTAGTACCATGATAATAATAATATGGCGGGAGCCACATTCAAAATACCCGCCGGCGGGTACTGGGTTCTTTTCGTGCTGGGCAGTGATTGGTGGAGGCCGACCCAGGAGCACCGCGCCGCCCGGGGGACGACCCAGGAGCACTGCGCCGCCCGGGGGACGACCCAGGAGCACCGCGCCGCCCGGGGGACGACCCAGGAGCACTGCGCCGCCCGGGGGACGACCCAGGAGCACCGCGCCGCCCGGGGGACGACCCAGGAGCACCGCGCCGCCCGGGGGACGACCCAGGAGCACTGCGCCGCCCGGGGGACGACCCAGGAGCACTGCGCCGCCCGGGGGACGACCCAGGAGCACTGCGCCGCCCGGGGGACGACCCAGGAGCACCGCGCCGCCCGGGGGACGACCCAGGAGCACTGCGCCGCCCGGGGGACGACCCAGGAGCACCGCGCCGCCCGGGGGACGACCCAGGAGCACTGCGCCGCCCGGGGGACGACCCAGGAGCACTGCGCCGCCCGGGGGACGACCCAGGAGCACTGCGCCGCCCGGGGGACGACCCAGGAGCACCGCGCCGCCCGGGGGACGACCCAGGAGCACTGCGCCGCCCGGGGGACGACCCAGGAGCACTGCGCCGCCCGGGGACGACCCAGGAGCACCGCGCCGCCCGGGGGACGACCCAGGAGCACTGCGCCGCCCGGGGGACGACCCAGGAGCACCGCGCCGCCCGGGGGACGACCCAGGAGCACTGCGCCGCCCGGGGGACGACCCAGGAGCACCGCGCCGCCCGGGGGACGACCCAGGAGCACTGCGCCGCCCGGGGGACGACCCAGGAGCACCGCGCTGCCCGGGGGACGACCCAGGAGCACTGCGCCGCCCGGGGGACGACGCCATACAAGACAACGGCGCCTCGCTGCGCAGGCACCTGTGACCCTCACCCTCTTGACTTTGGGCTACTATCTACCACTTGGCCATACATTGGGACCCCACCAGTCTTCAGTTCCATCCCTCATCTACCGCCGAAGACTTAGGATACCTTTAACCTCTTCATCTGAAGACTGCAGACTCAAAGTAAGCCTCCGTTAATTCTGTACACCTTATGCTCACTTGGAGGAGCCGCCTTAACTGATGCTGTAGTATAATATAACATTACGGTCAAGCAGTCAACGTGGCAACGAGAAATACTGACGTAGCAATTAACGTTAACATTTAAACCACGCTCTATGCGGCTGGTGTATCAGATGACTGGCGCCCTGGAGAATCTGTAGTACAGGTCATTCGCTGGTTCGTACCCCCCTCCCCATTTTTAAAGCAGCCAAACATAGCACTAATGGGGAAGGTTCATTTATGCCCTGGTATTCTAGCAATCTTATGGACGCCATTAATGTCAACAGAGCGTCAGGGTCGATACGAGTCATGTTAATTGAGACACAAGTACCGTAACTCATTCAGTGTCAGGAAGAGTATATACGACCCGTCTCGTGTACTCTCTATAGACGTAAACTCTTATCAGCACACTGAGAACACACCAACAGGCTTAATTCATTTACATACTAGAAGCATCCCTTACACACATGATTTTTACTTGTAAAAACATGCAAGTCGCCAGAGACAAAGTTCATTCAACTACACAACGCTGTTTTAATTATCTCGGTAACGAATGCAAGCTACTCCCTTGCTGTCAAGGTACTCTAAAGTTTACACGTTAAAATTGTCTGGATTTTGTTGCCGTCAAGTGTTAGCCTCGTATGTTGCCGTCAAGTGTTAGCCTCGAGTGACAACTACTGAGGTGAGAGGGTATAGTGGGAGTCCTTGTATGGGGAGGCTTCTCCCAGCTTTGTAGCCAAGGTGGAAAGTCAATTCGAACTAAGGAACATTCAAGTAGGGTGTAAGCCAATTAAGAATGCTTCTTTAAATGCGAACTAACATTTATCGCAACCACTCTCTAAAACAAACATCAACCCTTCCATCATTATCACCACAATCACCACCCATCATTCCGTCATCATAAACATCAAATTCAACAAATATTCATATTGGGGTTTAGTACCTGTATAGTTGGGATAGGTTACATGATTTTACAGTGATTTTATTTACTTAAGAGTCACAATGACATAACATGAACATCTGACAATGTGAATACAGTTTAAATAACTAAAATAAACTAATTATTCAATGAATTTATACATAACTTAAACAACACTCTCCATCAACAGCTTCTAGGACTGTCCCGGATCAAAACTACCCCCTCCCCCCTCAACACCGTTCATGTAACATAAATCTGACTTCAAAAACACTCAGAATGCCAATCAGTAAGACATCCGTTTGTGACAGTTCCTTCAAAATTCCAATTATCCAGTTGAGGTCTCCTTACTTCACTGATTATTTTATTCCATCCTGTATACCTGTTTCACCATTATGTATATTAATCATTCTTTAATTGTATGTCCTGCCAGTTAAGTTTATATTTCTGTTAAAGTTTATTTATTTATTTATTTATTTATTTATTTATTTATTTATATACAAGAAGGTACATTGGGTTTGTGAGGATACATAGCATGGTTTTTTACATTTTTGTAAAGCCACTAGTACCCGCAGCGTTTCGGGCAGGTCCTTAATCTAACAGATAATTTTAAGTAGGTAAATTCTAGCAAAATTTATAAAATGTTAACAGGTACATGGTAAGAAAAAAATGAGAGATTAGTAGGTATATTAAAGCACATCGATAGCTCTGATTGATAGCATTGACAGCTTGATTGATAATTTAACAAAGATTAATAGGCACAATACAACATATTGATAGCACACATAAGACGGCAGCAATGATCACAATGGTAAAGTTGTTTGGCTTAGGTACATAAGTATTGGGAGATTGGGTAGCACTAGATACAGTGCAAGTTTAAAGCACAAGATATGAAACTATGAAAATGAAATTAGCTACATTTTGTTTTTGTTTTTGAATGAAGCAAAAGTTGGACAGCTTTTCAATTCACAAGGGAGTGAGTTCCATAGACTAGGTCCCTTTATTTGCATAGAATGTTTACACAGATTAAGTTTGACTCTGGGGATATCAAAGATATATTTATTTCTGGTGTGATGATTATGGGTCCTATTACATCTGTCCAGGGAGAGTTTCAGAGCAGGGTTGGCATTTAAAACAGGATTTTGTAAATGTAATTGACATAAGAGAATGTGCGGAGTGAGGTTATGTTTAATATGTTTAGGGATTTAAACAAGGGGGCTGAGTGTTGTCTGAAAGCAGAGTTTGTTATTATTCTGATAGCAGATTTTGCTGGGTGATCTATATGAGAGACAAAGATAGGAGAGATAGGAGGGAGAGAGATAGGAGAGAACGAGATATGAGAGAGAGAGAGATAGGAAAAAGATAGATAGGAGAGAGAGAGATAGGAGAAAGAGAGATAGGAGACAGATATAGGAGAGAGATAGGAGACAGATATTGGAGAGAGATAGATAGGAGAGATATACATAGGAGAGAGCGATAGATAGAAGAGAGATAGATTGGAGAGAAAGATAGTAGAGGGAGAGATAGATTGGAGAGAGAGAGAGAGAGATAGGAGATATATGAGAGGATATATATTATATCACCCAGATAATTGGAGTTGGAGTTGTCCAGTTCTCTTCCCTCCCTCTCCCCTTATCTCCAACTCGTAAAATTTATTACGAAATACTGTAACTGCTAAACAACACTATGGGAAACATGGGAGGGACAAGCGCATGGGAAGTCTCTATAAATACCAATATTTCTTAAAGCATTTCTATAAAACAAGTCAGCATTTTACGGAAAATACTCACATCACGTAGTTACCCACTTAATAATTTTTGAGTGTTAGATACTTTAAAGAAAACGTTTCTCATATGCTGTTTCTGTAGGGTAAACCAAAATAAACGTTTTCTTGGTATACAGTAAAACCTAATTTTGCAGGCCCTTAATCTACCTAAATAAATCTAACAAAGAAACGCTTGTAGCTTATGATGCTATGTTCTTTAGGCATAATGTTAGTTCGTATATCGTATGCCTGTATTATGTCGTATATTTGAGGGTCCCGGTAGTATAGTCGGGTTCGTCCTCGACTCAATCGAGAATTCCGGGTTTGAATCCCGGACGGCACAGAAATGGTTGGGCGCGTTTCCTTTCACCTCACGCCCCTGTCCATCTGGGCGTAAATAGGTACACAGGAGTTAGTCAGCTTGTTGTGGGGTTTGTTAATGTTTTATTCCATCCTATATGGCGGGGTCAGTACATAATACATGTACTGTATTAGTAATGGTAATCTTTTCTTGCAGACATAATAACATAAGATAAAAACCCACACTTGGGAACAAAGCCACAAGGGCCGTGACGAGGGTTCGAACCTACGTCCGAGAGGATCCCAGACGCTGCCTTAATCGACTGAGCTACGACATGGTCAAAAGACACTTGGGTTTATATGTAAATTACACAAAATCTTTCGCAATCTCGTGAGTGTTTTATCAAGGTTTGAAGCTATCAAGAAATGTATAACCTGGCTTCCTGTCCCGACAACGAATTATTATTTATATTATTATATAACCTATCCATTTTCAGACCATTGGTGAACGTAAAACATGGATGAAATAGTCGTAACGTTGTTGACGGCTCGTTACCAAATACATCCTTTCCAGAGCGGACTCCGTGGCGAAGTGGAAACACACTCGCCTGGCGTTTCGGGAACGCTTTGGCCTTGGTTCGTATCTTGGCCGAGGAGGATTTACTGGGCACGAATCCATAACTGTAGCCTCTGTTCACCCAACAGTAAAATGGGTACTACTGGTTATTAAACGATTTGGCAAGTCGAATTCCGGGGAAAATTGGGATTAAGGACTTTCCCGAAATGCTATGCGTGCTAGTGGCTGTACAAGAATGTAAGAACTCTTGTATAAATCAATCAATCAAAATAAGCATTTAATTTTTACCACAGACGTGGCCATACATTTACAATCCTAACCAGCATATATACACTTTCTTCTGTCTTCCATGGACAGGCTTAGGGATCTGTTAAAAAATATGTTTAACAGGATGGGAATGGCGTCCGCTAACGCTCACAGGATGGGTATGGCGTCCGTTGACGCTAACATGATGGGTATGGCGTCCGTTGACCCTAACAAGATGGGTATGGCGTCCGTTGACGCTAACATGATGGGTATGGCGTCCGTTGACCCTAACAAGATGGGTATGGCGTCCGTTGACCCTAACAAGATGGGTATGGCGTCCGTTGACGCTAACATGATGGGTATGGCGTCCGTTGACGCTAATAAGATGGGTATGGTGTCCGTTGACGCTAACATGATGGGTATGGCGTCCGTTGACGCTAATAAGATGAGTATGGTGTCCGTTGACGCTAACAAGATGGGTATGGTGTCCGCTAACGCTCACAGGATGGGTATGGCGTCCGTTGACGCTAACAAGATGGGTATGGCGTCCGCTAACGCTCACAGGATGGGTATGGTGTCCGCTAACGCTCACAGGATGGGTATGGTGTCCGCTAACGCTCACGGGATGGGTATTGGAAGCACAATAAACTAGCTGCCTCCGGCGACAAAATCAAATCCATGAGTTTATACACCAAGAAGCAAGGTACACTTCTCAGAATATATATCCACCCGTTTCCAGCTACCACTTTTGTCCTACTTTTTAATGTAAAGTATTCTATTATACGTATACTTATTCCATTATAATAATAATTCATTGTGTCGGGGGACAGGAAGCCAGAGAGTATTCATACTCGTTAGGCTTATATCGAGGTCCTTCCCTCCTCCCCCCAAGGCCGAATTACCGACCCCGCCCAGGATGCAACCCCATAACAAGCTGACTAACTCTTGGGTACCTACTCACTGCTAGGTGAACAGAGGCATTGGGTGAAAGGAAATGTGCCCAGCAATACCTGTCCCGCC